ATTTCTATCAATGGAGTCTTGTGGTTTTCTTTCCTGATTATCCAATGAAGAAGTGCTGACAGATTGTCTCTACTTCTTTTCCCTAGAGCAGTGGTAGTCAACCTGGTCCCTACTGCCCACTAGTGGGCGTTCCAGCTTTCATGGTGGGTGGTAGGGATTTGCTGTAACTCTGCTTTATAAATTTTATAAAGTTACTTCCCTACTTTATAAATCAACATTACTGTGGAACCGGTGGGCGGTTAGAAAATTTTACTACTAACAGAGATACAAAAGTGGGCAGTAGGTATAAAAAGGTTGACTAACCCTGCCCTAGATTCTTTGATTGCTTTAGTTTTTTTCCTCCATAATTTTTATTTTTGATCAGGCCCATTTCAAAGAAACAAAAAAAACTTGAAACAGTTAAAGTTGCATTAACACAAAAATAGATTTATTTATTTATTTCTTTGGTTTGATTCATTTGGATTTGATTTGATCTCTATACCCACCCTTCTAAGCAAATGACTCTGGGCAGATTGATTAATTGAATATGTTCTAAGTCATTACTGATTCTTAACAATCACATAGAAAGATTTTCTTCATGATGAACCCTATTTCTTATGAATATGTATGAATGATCATTTTCCTCTCCTTTCTGAAATACTGTTTATAAAACTGAAACTTATTTTGTCTTCCATTATTCTTTTTGAGAAGACCACTTCAGTCCGTGAATAAATTTTCCCTTCCTTTCTTCCATTACTTTCTTCTCCTTTCTGAAAGGGGTGTGTGTGTGTGTGTGTGTGTGTGTGTGTACACAAACACACACCATTTTTTGGGGAAAAGACCCCTCCAGTATGTACTGTTTAGCGAACACTGCAGTAAGTGTTGGTGTTTTTGTTAGTTTACTAGTTTTCATTCTGCATTTTGATTTCCCAACATAGGAAGGGAAGCTGCAGAGAAGTTGAGATAAAAATGCCTCGTGGTGCCTGGGATGAAAGGAGGCCTGGGAGCAGATAGGGAGCAGATCCACCATGATTGGCAGAAAAATATCAGTTGCTCATTTCAGGGAAAATCAGAAGAAATTTTGTGGCAGTTCTTCTGATTCAAATGACTGTCATAGACTGCTTTGATGCAAGACTTAAGCCAGACAAAATAACCTTGAGTTCATGCAGCTCATGGCCTGTGGGTTTGGGATTGGTATATTACAAAATGGCTTCAACTTTATGAACTTTATGAACCAATATAAATGGTAACCCTGATTAATCTAAACATTATCTTATTTTGTTAAGAAATGTAACCATATATTAAAACTGAAGTAGACAATGGAACTAACTTGGAAGTAGAATTTTCTCTTTTTCCCTCATCAAATTTTAAGTTGATGCTTGCTGGAACATGTTTCAGCATCATTTAGAAGCATATCATATGTCTTTGCTTTGGAACAGTTGTCTTAGCCAATCCAAATTAGGCCACAACAGTCAATTAATTAGTCAATGAACATGATTAATTTGCAAAGGCTGCTAGTTTTACGTGAAAGTGAATCTCATTAAACATACTGGGATTTGCTCCTAAATAAATATAAAGTTAAGTTGTCAATGAAATTATCTACATTTAAGTTGAATACTTCTTTCCTCAAAATCAGGGATGTAATTCTGAATAAACTTGCAGATGATCATTCTAGGAAATAATGTGTGTGCATGTTTTCATTTTTATATTACAAAGAAATTCAAATTCGGCGGCTTCCGGGGAGGGGCTTGCCGTCGCCAGCAGCTTAACAGAGCTGCCCCCAGAGTTCTGGTTCGTTATCTATTTAATATCTAATAGATATCTCTTTTTTCAGGCAAGAAAAAAGCAGGGAGAGACCCAGTCGGCAAGAATCTTTGAAGTTTGCAGGTTTTTTTTTTTTTTTGGCTGTGAACGGAGGAGGAGGATTAGCCAAGGCTGAGTCATTTAACTCCGGCCAGATCTTCTCAGCTGTTTTTCACAGTACAAGGCAAGTAACCCCCCCCCCCCTCAGGACAATCTTTTGAAACTAGGCTATTGAAAATTAACACGAGCAGAGACCAAACCTGAGAACTTTTTTTTTTTGTTTTCTCTATCAAAAATACCAGCCTCAATGTTATAAAAAACTCTTTGTTTAATTGTTTTCAAAATGGCGATTTTATAGCTTCCGCATTTGTTATAATGATATATATCCAACTTCCTGGCACAGAATCAAAGGAATAACACTCCCTTGAAGCTTTCAAAGACTCTTTGTTGATATAGAGACATTCCAACGGGGTTTTCCTTTGTTTTTTACTTAAAGCAAAGGTATAATGGCATCAAAATCGACCTCTGCGAAATTACCTCCTAGATCCACGTCTCCCATTAAGACAG